AGCGTGCAGCGACAGCGTCGTACAAGGTCTAAGCACTCTTGTACTGGCTAAAGTGCGCGCGCTCAGTGGTAGGCAGGTGGCGACGCAGAGCAAGACGTGCAGCAACATCGCGAGTGGCCCACTGGGAGCGAACAGTGGCGTCGGCATCGGCAGCAGGGGCTGGGGAAGCACGAGAGGTGAGGTCAAAGAGGGAAAGACCGTCTGCCCTATCGCACTGTAGGAAAAGCTGCAGGTCATTCACCCAAACCTCAAAGTCAATGGCTCGACCCTCAGCGTCAAAAGCGAGAACACTGGGGGTAGCCATGACAACAGTGGACTAGCAGTACCAACTGTAGGACAGGGGCAGTGCAGTGACAGTTTCGCTGCTCTCACCAGGCAGGGCGGGTCGGGCAGCTCAGCGGTACAGCAACACGGCAACACGACTGCTCGGACGGCACTGCAGCAACTGCGGCTCCGTGGCACCAGCGGCTCGGCTCCTCAGGCGGCTCGGGCGGCTCAGGCGGCTCGGGTGGCTCGGGCGACTCGGGCGGCTTGGGCGGCTCGGGCTGGTCGGGCGGCTCGGGCGGCTCAGGAGAGTCGGGCGGCTCGGGCGGCTTGGGCAGCTCGGGCAGGTCGGGCGGCTCGGGAGGCTCGGGCAGCTCGGGCAGGTCGGGCGGCTCGGGAGGCTCGGGCGGTTCGGGCGGCTCGGGCGGCGCGGGCGGTGTAGGGCGGCAGGGCCGCTGGTGCGAGGGGCGGCTGGGCTGCTGAGAAGGGCGGCGAGGCCGCTGCGGAAGGGCGGCGGGGCCGCTGAGTAGGGCGGCGGGGCCGCTGAGGAGAAGGGCGGCGGGGCCGCTGAATAGGGCGGCGGGGCCGCTGAGGAGAAGGGCGGCGGGGCCGCTGAGTAGGGTGGCGGGGCCGCTGAGGAGAAGGGCGGCGGGGCCGCTGAGTTGCGGCGGGCCGCTGAGGAGAAGGGCGGCGGGGCCGCTGAGTAGGGCGGCGGGGCCGCTGAGGAGAAGGGCGGCGGGGCCGCTGAGTAGGGCGGCGGGGCCGCTGAGTAGGGCGGCGGGGCCGCTGAGGAGAAGGGCGGCGGGGCCGCTGAGTAGGGCGGCGGGGCCGCTGAGGAGAAGGGCGGCGGGGCCGCTGAGTAGGGCGGCGGGGCCGCTGAGGAGAAGGGCGGCGGGGCCGCTGAGTAGGGCGGCGGGGCCGCTGAGGAGAAGGGCGGCGGGGCCGCTGAATAGGGCGGCGGGGCCGCTGAGCAGGGCGGCGGGGCCGCTGAGGAGAAGGGCGACGGGGCCGCTGAGTAGGGGCGGGGCCGCAGTGAAGGGCGGCGAGGCCGCGGAGACGAACGGCGGGGCCGCGATGCGGGGCAACGGGGCCGCTGTGACGGGCGGCGGGGCCGCACTAAAGGGCGGCGGGGCCGAAACGAAGGGCGGCGGGGCCGCTAGGGGAAGGGGCCGCTAGGGCGTAGGGGGGGGCCGCTAGGGCGGCTCGGCGAGGTGAGAGCCCGGAGCGCGACTCGGGCGGAGCGCGCTTCGGGCAGGAGAAAAAAAAAAATGAAACTCGATGTGGTGGGCCCTAAGCACAGTTCCCAAGGGGGAACCTGCTCGATACCATGAGGAAAGTAGAACGAGAATGAATGACTACGGAATGGAAGTGATACAAATATGCAACCCTAGAAATGTGTACCCTATATGGGCTACCCCACTATAGCCTATACAATATTATAATTTGACAGACGCATCTGGACCGTCGGAGTAGACAGCATCAGGCAACTGCAGGCAGGATGGTTTCGGCGGGAACAGTTTCGTAACTGTTCGCGCCACACGGTTGAGAATGTATTTGAATAAGGGAATGTACCCCTTAGAGTACATGGCTAGCTAGGTCGTTTCATCTCCCCTATACTCATATTTATATTTGTTGTTTTTGCATGTTTTAAATCATCTCAAAGCATTTTACATTCATTCTGCTATTGAGGTCAAGGGCCCACCAACATCACTTCTCTGCGTGCGAACCTTCCTGAGTAGATCCTAGGCGACGATCAACTCCTGATGACAGCAGTGTGGAATAAACGGGCGGGTACTGTGTCACAAAAGTGCTGTCCTGCAGGTATTCTTGGTTTTTTTTAATGCGCCCAGCTCTGGACAATGCCCAACCTGATCTGACGCACCATTGGTGCGGATGGAAGAATCCGGAAGGCCATTTTTGGCCAATAGAACAGCGCCGAGGAGTTATGTGTCGAACGCAAAACGTATTTTGTTTTCTGGAAGTTGCCCCGAGACAGGGACAGCTGAATGCCTTTAGGAGAATGAACGTAGAAAACAATTACGGTTATGTAGTTTCTGTCTTCCATAAGCGTTTTTAAGAATTGTTTCGTGTTTTACCCTGATCAAGAGCTGGTGTATTCTAGACACATCTCACAGCACACACAAGGCTTGCGTTGTCGATTCTCCCCAAACCTCTCCGGTCTCGTATTCTGCCGAAGCTTTTGGTTTGGGTTTGGCATTAGCGGTTCCCCAAACGAGGGTCACCAGTGACGGCGTAGTGGTGGTGATCATGGGCTGTCGACTATTTCTGGTTCTCTTTCAGGTATTCGAGTCGCGTTTTAGCTCAACGCTCCGCTTGTCCTTCCTGCTTTACTGTACCTGCGGGTGACAGATTCTCGCAAGGGCGGCGCAGCAGGAGAACCAGTCGCCTAGGCTGCGCCGGCGTGTGTGTTTGCGCGGCTTACCAAGGCCCTGGGGCGCTGCGCCTGACCAGAATTAGCTGGAGGTACGGAATGAGGTTCGCGTCGTTACACATGGTTCGCGGTATTTTCAGACCCTACAATTTTACACCTCTGTGTATTCGTTCCTGATTTCCCCGGAAATTGAGGGTCGTTTATAACAGTCTGGTTTTAAGAAATTAACGATTAACACTCTGCTTAAGAGTCAGCGGGAAAAGAGAAACATGGTCGCAGCAGAAGATCCTGTCTTTATGTTGCGGTCATTAAGTCACACTTTCACAACATCGACACTTGACAATGCCACAGATAGCCTCTAGTTCCTTGGGTGTCTGATCCCCAAAGCTAAAAAGGTTAAAATGGGCTTTAATCCTAAAGTGACGGAGTGTGAAATTGGCGCGGGCTAGGCGTACTAGCCAGTGGGTTCGGTTGGGTGTCGGTTTGGTAAGGGAAGGTTGAGGTGAGGGAGGTCGTGCCGTGCCGCTGGTTTCGAGTCTCGGCTCGTATCATGGTTGGATGCAAAGAACGTACAGCGCTGCCTCCATCACACAACCACACCACACCAAATACAAGTGAGTGGTTCGACTATCCCCAACACACGTAACGGGCAAGCGATAAATGAATCACAACGACCAGGGCAACGGAATACACAGTTTGCCAGCTTGCACAGCAGCAAATCGCTGCTTTTCCTGAGAGGTGGTGAACGCGTCCGGTCAGTAGTCCGGTCAGTTTGGTACTCCCGAGCCTTATCCTAGCCAGATTTGGCAAGAACCAGACCAGAAAGTTGACCCGGGACCCAAGCCAAGACCAGCAAGGTGTGGTGCACTAGGTGGAGAACCAAACCAAAACAGGCCATTTCGCTTGTCTGATCTGCAGCGGCGGACCTGCGTGCGCGGGTCAGAGGCGGCGGCGGAGCAAGAAAACCATCTCCAAGGAAAGAGAGGCGAAGATGGCTAGCAACCCAGAAGCAGTCGCCCATCCGTCCACGTCTCCCCCATTTGCCCCTCACCCACTCGCCCGCAAGTACCACCACCACCCGCCTCGCCATACGTCCCCCTCATTGTTCCAAATTCCACATCCAAGCTTGGGCGAGCAGCTCTGTTGGTAAGGCCGTTGATCCAGCCCTTTTTAGAGGGATCTCATGCTTGACTTCGTGTTTGGAAAATGGAATCGAGGCAAGTTTGTGAATTTAGCGTGGCAGCAACGGCACCCGTAGCTGGAGACACAGCAGGACTTGCACTTCCCAAATAGGCTCCCAACATACAGTAGACTTAGCTCCACTCTCTTGGTTCCTTCGGCTCATCACCTGCCTGCTTCCCCTAAGCCGTTCTTGATGCCGTACCTTTATCGCGCCGATCGCTCGTGCTTCCCCCCTTCATACGGCATCTTAATTTAACGATTCTTCGCGTGCGCTAGCACAATCGTCGTACTCAACCAAACATCACCAAACAAACTCCGCAAAACACCACTCAGCACCACCAAACTCACTCCCTACCCCCGCATCCTCCTCCAATCCGCCAATCCGCCACCGGCTCATTTCACTGCGCCCCCCTCCTTCGCCTGCACACCCACATACTCCGTTCCGCTCTTCATCAGCAGTGCTAACGAGTGATGCGTTTGCAGTGTGGGCGCCTGCTAGTTAAGCGGCGCCGCGGGCGATCTGGGAAAGCATCGGTTGGGCTCTGGTAGACGTAGCTGCTGGACGAAAAAAGAAGGCCTCTTCGTTAGTCGCAGGCACCGCGCGGATAACGCCTCAGCGCGACAGTCGACTCGAGTGGATAGCACGTCGCCGCGTTGCAGCGGAGCAGCAGGATACTAGCTTGAGCGGGCCACCCGCGGGATACCGGTAAACGGTGTAGTCAAAGAGGGAAGGAGAACGGTCGTGGAGTAGTCACAGGGGCGATTAAGATCTGCGACGAGTGCGCTCATTCGTGCACGTTCTTGCGGTTCGGACGACTCGTAAGGAAGCGAGGAGGAGAGAAGGAACGAGCGGAGAGGAAAGTGAGCGGAGAGATAGTTTTTGTTCAGAAGCGGGTGATTTAGTCAACAAATTGCGTCGAAGCGGTGCTTCGAGAATTCGCCACTATCAGCCAGCGACTCAGCAGCTCCTGCGTTCTCCGAACCTTCCTTTTTCCGAAGAAATCTTCGTCGTCCCCTTTCCCCACCATCCCCGCGCGCTGCTGCTTGCATCAATATCTGCAGCGGTGGCGGCGTCCGCGGAGCTTCCGTTGGCGGTGCCAGCGGCGTCGGAAATTGCGGTGGTTGCGGCAGCGGCGGCGGCGGCGCGGGCGGTGACGGTACTATGTCCCGCAAAGTGACGCAGGTGTCGGGCATTCTGGACGTGCATGTGATGCAAGCGGAGGGACTAAAGAACGTGTGCTTATACGGACCCCAGGACGTTTACGTTAAGATCCTCTGCGGCACGCACGACGACTCGCAGGGCCGCGTCGCGCTGCACACCAAGACCGTGAAAGCCGGCGGCTCGAACCCCATATTCAACCAGCGATTACAGGTGAGGAGGGAGAAGGGAGGGAAAGGGGCAAAGGGAGGATAATGGGGAAAGGGAGGGAAAGGTGATAAAGAGTGGGGAGGGGAGGGGGAGGAAGGCTGAGTCGAGAGGCCACGGAAGTCGCGGCGACGGGAAGGCGGAGCAGGAGGATAGGTGTGCGCTGGTGGTTCCGGTGGAATTCAGGGTGTGTGATGGTAAAATTCTGAATGAACGCGTGTTGAAACTCTCGTTACGTTCTCATAGTCCCCTCCTTCCCCTTCCCCTTCCCCTTCCCCTTCCCTTTCCTCCTCACCCTTCCCGTTCCTCTTCCTCCTTTCCGGCATCCCTTCCGCGGAACCCTGTGTTACGCCCGCGCGCCCCTACCAGGTAGGCGTGCAGGAGCGCCACGTGGAAGTGAAGTGCGAGATCTGGGCGGCGAGTCACAACCGCGGCACAGCGGACGACCAGCTCATCGGCTTCGTACACGTGCCCATCTACAAGTGAGTCCGCGCGCGCTCTCCGCTCCGCCTTCCGAGTTTCAAACTCAGTGAGGCCTCTCAAATGGGTCTCGTGTTGAGGCGCCTCAAACGACGACCAGCTTATCGGCTTCGTGCACGTCCCCATCTACATGCACTGTCCGCGCTCTCCGCTCCGCATTCTCTCCCCCTTCTTTCCGCCCTCCCGCTCCGCCCTCTCCCCTTTCCGCTCCGCCTCCGATCCTCCGCGATGCTCTCCCCGCGCCGCCCTCTCGCGCCAAGCTGCCGCTCCGTCTTCTCCGTGCGGCCTGCGCCTCTCCGCGCGTGTTGCCCCTTCTTCATGCACCTCAGTCTTCCAAAGAAATTCCTTCCGTTATGCCACTCCGTCGTTGAGCATTCCTCGAAATCATTATGCTTCGGAAATCTTCTTTCCTTCCCGCCGCCCTTCCTCCCCCCGTCCCCTTGCCCTTCCCCCTCTCCCCCCTCACCCCCTCCTTCTCACCCGCTCCCCCTCGATCTGCCGTTCACTTCCGCTCTTTCTTCCCCGTTTTCTTCCCCCTCCCCCCCCCCCGGTCCCCCGCCCCCTTCTCGCCCCTCTCTTCCCCTCCCCCCCGCCCTTCTCCCCACCCCCCGAACCCCCCTGCCCCCGCGCCCATCCCCCAGAGATTCTTCCGACAAGGCCAAGGGGCAGACTATCCGCGAGTTCCCCCTCCGCCCAGTAGACGGCGACGCGGGAACAGCCTCCGCGGGAGTCATCCGCCTTGCGCTCTCCTACCATCCGCGCCCGTCCTCTTCCGCCGCCGCGTCCTCGTCCCTCCCCATTCGCGGACCGCCCGGCGGAGGCATCTTGGGCCGCGCGCTTTCCGCTGCCTTCTGCCGAATCGCCAGCGACAAAGCCGGCGCGGGGAGCAGCAAAGCGAGCGGAGCGGGCGGAGCGGCGGCGGCGGCAGCGGCGGCGATTCCCGCAGTGCCGGCAGCGGGGACGGGAGTAGCGGGGGCGCGCGGAGTCGTTGCGGCAGTTGGCGGAAGCATTAGCGGGTGGGGAGAGGCCAGCGCAGCAGGGGGCGGCGGCTTCGGGGGAATAGGGGGAGGAGCAAGCGCAGTAAGCGCAGTAGGAGCAGGGGCAGGGGCGCAAGCAGTGGCGCAAGGGCATTTTCAGGCGCAAGGTTCGGGGCAACCGGCGGCGGCTCTAGAGGCGCAAAGTGCAGCCCGTGGGAGGCAAGTGCAAGGCGGGTCGCGGTTTCCGCATCTGCAGTCGCAGCAGTCGCAGCAACCGCAGCAGTCGCAGCAACCGCAGCCGTCGCAGCAGTTGTTGTCCCAGCAGCAAGGAATCTTAGGGAGCACGCTAGGAGGTTCAGTATCGTCCGGTCTAGACTTAGTTCAAGCTTTAAGAGCAGTTGCGGAGGTCGATAGGGCGGGACTCGTAGGCGCGGGCGGAAAGAAGAAGGCCAAATCCGGACCAATCATATCCGGCGGAATGGAAGTGTATGGCGGAGCGGGGAGCGCGGGGATCGGCGGAACTCTGGCGGCATCCGCGGGGCTCGGCGGAACGTTCAGCCCCGGGTTCGGCGGAGGCACGGCGGCCGGGGGGGCGAACAGCAGCGCAAGCGCGGGGGGAATGTTTGGTGGAGGCATGGGGAGAGGCATCGGGGGAGGCATTGGCGGGGGGAGCGCGCACGCGCACGCGTTGGCGCAGCAGCTTCCCCACGGCAAGCCCAAGTCGAAGTCCGGACCGCTGCAGCACGTGGCGGAAGGGGGCTTGGCGGGGGGAGGCATGGGAAGAAGCGGCCCCGCGACGAGCTGGGTAGGTCTGGGGGGAAGCGGGGGGGGCGCAGGCGTAGGCGCGGGCGCGGGGGAGCTGCTGGCGGGCGCGTTTGGCGGAGGGGGGATCTTCGAAGGGGTGGCGGAAGGGGCGTGGGGATCGGACGCGTCTGTTCTCTCCGCGATTCTTCTGCGCGACGGGCTGCTTCCGCCGAGCGCGGTGGGGCTGGCGCAACAAGCGGCGGAGGGAGGCGGAACGGCCGGCGGCGGCGCATCTGGCGGGGGAGCGGGAAGGGGAGGGGGGAGAAGAGAAGGGTCGCTGGGGGCGAATCCGCTGCCCGCGCGCTTCGCAGGGCTGTGCAGTGTGGGGGAAGGGGAAGGAGCAGGGGGGGAAGCGGGAATGGCAGGCGAAAGTGGTGGGGGTCCGGTAGCAAGTAGCAGAGGTGGCTTGAGTGGAACAGCAGCGTCAGGCGGAGGAGGAGGAGGAGGAGGGGGGAAGGTAACTGGAGGTGGGAGTGCCGCCCCTCGCGTTCCTCCCCTGTCGGCTGTTGCTGCAGCCGCGTCTGGCGCTGCTGCTGCTGGTTCTTCTATGCGCTCGCAGCAGCACCGGCAGCAGCATCACCACAGAGAGCAGCAGCAGCAGCAGCAGCAGCACCATCATCATCACCATCAGGACGGTGTTACTGCTGCTGCTGCTGCTGCTGTTCCAGCTGCAAGCTCGGGCATGGGCCCCAGCGTCCTATCTGGCATACCGCCTGGGATTCCACCTGGCATGGGCGGCCACAGCCAGCTCTCCCCGGAGCTGCTCACTCTGTGGGAAACACCTGACGCTGTAGCCATGGAAGCTGCCTGGTCGCCCCCCCACGGCCCCTGGCAGGGAGTGTACCATCATACCTCCTCTCTAGCCGGCGCTGCTTCCCCCACTGGCAGCGCGGGCGGCGCGGGGGGAATGGAAGGAGGGGGGAGGGGGAGGGATGACGGGGAGGGGAGCGAGCAGAGCGCGGAGGAGGTTTCGTCCACGCAGAAGCGGACGTGTGGCGCGGACGGGGGCGCGGGGGAGGCGGGGAGGGTGGGGATGGGGGAGGAGTGCTGCGCGGATGGCGGGTTTGGGGGGGAATGCGGGGGGTGCGGGGAATGCGGGGGGTGCGGGGGAGGCGGGGTAACCGGAGGAGGGGGTGGGGGAGGGGGGGGGGGACGAGTGCAGCATGCATAGAGCTTGTGGAGGTGGGGGAGGGGGAGGGGGAGGGGGAGGGGGAGGGGGAGGGGGAGGCGGAGGGGGAGGGGGAGGGAGAGGGATGGGGCGTGGCGGTGTGGTGGTGGAGGGGTCGTTCTTTGAGACGTGCTCCCCGGACCGGTTCCTGCAGTCGCCCCCGCGGGGCATGGGGGGAGCAGGAGCAGCAGGCATGGAGGAGGGCGAAGGGGACTGCCACATGGGTGGCGGTGGCGCTGCTGGTGGCGGCGGCGGTGGTGGTGGTGGCGGCGGTGGTGTTGCCGGTGGCGGTGATGGTGGTGTGCAAGAGAGGACGAGTGGACGACGATCCAAGACGGGAGGGAGAGGGAGAGGGGGATGGGTAGGGGGAGGAGTGGGTGGTGCTGGGGAGTGGAAGGTGGCGGAGAGCAGAGGTGAGGGCGGGAGGCTGTTCCGCATGGCCATGCCCGATGGGTTTGACACGGAGGGATGGGGCTCTGTGGATGATATGGATGTGTCCGGGGCTGATGGGGTCGGGGAAGGGGAAGGGGAAGGTGGTGAAGGTGAGGGGATTGAGGTGGAGGGGGAGGAGAGGGGAGGGGTGTATGGGGAGGGTGGGCATTTGCTTGTGTATGTGAGCTCGGATGCCAGTGCTGATGGTGGCGTGTATCAGAGACACACACAGCAGCAGCAGCAGCAGCAGCAGCAGCAGCAGCAGCAGCAGCAGCAGCAGCAGCAGCAGCAGCAGCAGCAGCAGCAGCAGCAGCAGCAGCAGCAGGCACACACACAAGTGGGGGCAGCAGCAGCAGGGGGGGTGTCCTCCCCAGCGCTACCACCAGCGCCAGCGCCCACGCCCATGCCGTCTCCCGCTCTCACCCCAGCGACGCCTGTGCCCTCGCCTGCACTCGCACCCGCCCCTGCCCCTCGCCTGCTCCGAATGCCCTTCCAGAAACTGCTAGAAGACGAGCAACAGCAGCAACAGCAGCAGCAACAGCAGCAGCAGCAGCAGCAGCAGCAACAGCAATTGCAACTGCAGCACCAGATGCAGCTGCAGCAGCAGTTGCAGTTGCAGCACCTCTTACAGCAGCAGCAACAGCAAGAGCAGGACGACATGGATGATGGGTATGGCATTGGCAGCAGTGGCGGCAGCAACCCCAGTTGGAGGGGCCGAGTGCAATTGCTGCAACTGCCGTCAGGCCTCATGGGGGGCAACGCATGGCTCCCTGCCCCTGCCTCCGGTGCTGCTGCTGCTGCTACTGGTGCAACCATGCATGGGATGCAGGGAGGGCAGGGAATGCGGCAGCAGCAGCAGCAGCAGCAATTCTCTGGGCCTCTGGAGCCACATGTACCGCCCGCGCTCACGAGCAGCATCGGGGGCAGTGCCAGCGCAAGCACAGGAGGAGGAGGAGGAGGAGGAGGAGGAGGAGGAGGAGGAGGAGGAGGAGGAGGAGGAAACGGCAGCGGCATGAGCAGCAGCAGCATGCGGCATGCATCTCTCGGCCACAGGGTGCTGTCAGCATCGCAGCCCCTTCCTCCTCCTCCACACTCGCTCTCGCTTCTTGGTGCCTCTGCGCACCCCACGCCTCTCTCCTTCTCCGCCCCACTTTCTTCCTTCCCTGGCCAAGGGTCAACGCAAGCTGCTGGAGCAAGCGCACTGGCAGCAAATGCTGCGGCCACTGCCTCTGCTGCCGCTGCTGCGGGTGCCTCTGTTGCAGGACCTGCTGTGCCCCTGCCTGCGCCTCCCCAGTCGTCGCGCTTCGCCTCTGTGCTTCAGCCCATGTGGACGGATAATGATGGCTTTGATGGGGATGGGGACGTGCTATGGGGAGGTGGAGGAGGGTGTGCGGGAGGTGGGGGAGGGATGGGTGGAGGACGAGGAGGTGGGAGGTTGGAAAGCGGGCGAGGTGGGGGGTTGGTGATGCCGCAAGCTCCTCAATTCTCCCAGCAGCAGCAGCAGTTTTCGCAGCAGCTGCATAACCATCACCAGCATCACCCGCAGCATCAGCAGCAGGTGCTGCATCAGCAGAACCACCACCATCTCCACTACCAGCAGCAGCAGCAGCTAGCCCACTTGCAGCAGCAGCAGCAGCAGTCAGGGCAGCCGCAGTTGCAGCAGCATCATGCCTCGCGCCGTGCAGTCACTCCTAATACTGGCAGCACTGCTATGGAGGCCATTTGATCGCATCAGTTCCCTTTGCACCCCTTTGCCTATTATCTTCTTCGGTCCAACTTCTACTCCCCATCCCACGCTCCCCCTTTTCTTCTCACTCCCCCCATTCTACTCCCCACACTCCCCCCTCCAACTTCTCCACACTCGTGTGCCCCCGTCAAATTCTTCCCCTTTCCTTAGCTTTTCATTCTTTGCTGAACCTGCCCGCTAGTATGTCATGCCACAATTCTTTCCCTGAGCTAGGCTTGGCACCTCGTGGGCCTGCTCCTAGCAAGTGGCTAGGGTGTGTAAAAGGTTTGGGTGCGCGTGATAGGCTGGCAGCCTTGTGTAGGCTGTACTACCAGCGCATTTGGGACCTTTTTTGGATGTGTTGTTTGGCTTCTCTATAAGTGCCGGGTTCTTATTTTTCTTGTACCTCCATTTGCTTTCCAGGTGTGATGGTAGGTTGCAGCACTGGTTTTATATTTATGGGCTCTCGATGAAATCATAGTGGGGCATTCAACGAGCAACCGTGGCACAAAGTTGACCACAAATATGGCTTTGGCCTGATTGGCTAATCGTCTCCAAACCCACAAATTTCGGGAACAAATGGGCAGCATCGCAAGCCATACCACCAGAGACGTCAGGTCGCACATCTCTCGCACATTACAGTTCGGTTTCGTGGCTCAGGACGGTTCCACACGGTGGGAAGCAGTTCTCAAATTTAGACTGTTTTTCAATGGATGCTGGCGAATTTGTTTTTCCACGAGGTACTGTACTGTACTGCTCTCGTCATGTGCAAAACCTTCATGCAACATGTAACTCCTCGTCCGCAACAACAGTTTTCCTCGCTGCAGCATTTTGGAGGTCCCTTCTGGATCTTACTGAGTGAAGTGCTCTGTACTAAGCTCCATATTTTAATCCTGAACAAAGCGGTGCTCGAGAAATCGGCTGCGAGGGACCGCAACATTTATGGATGGAGCATTCTCCCCTGGATGACTGCGCAGCTGTAGCTATGCTTCAAATTTGAGGAACACGACCCTTGGAGCAATTATCCCTCTGTCTCTCAGCTCTTCATTTCACAAACGGGAACACGTTGGTTGGCAGGATTTTTAGATGAATGCGCTCTGGGGCCGAGGCCTAAAGCAGCGCCAAGAAGCTTCGGAACATCATCATAGCGCCGCAGTAGTTTTCCAGCGAGCATTCGTTGTCCCATTTTCCGTCTCCGCCATTTTCTGGTCGACAGATAGAACGATCCAGTCTTGCGCATCACCCTTGGAATCTTGCCGTGCGATCCGCTGCTTGATGCGCCGTTTGATCTTCACCCGATCTAACAGGCTCGATTATTCCGTCACGCGTGCATTCTAGAGAAATTCCAGCTAATGATATCACCCCATCGAGATCCGCGCTAGAAGGGCAGCATGGACAGCTGGTACAGGTTACTCCACCGATCTCCTAGATTCGCCAACGCTTCAGATAGGCAAGCGATACTGAAAGGGCTATGACTCTCTTTACGCGCGTCGGATTGGCGCAGTGACCGTTCTGGTAACTTTTTAGTGTTCCTCGAGAACCAATCAGGCAGCAGCGCGTGCGATCCAGCCGATACCTCGCCTAGGGAATCGATTCGTTTGAGCCGATTATAAAACCAGGCGGTTATACTGGCAGTCTTCGAGTAAACAACGCAGCTGGGAGGGCCAAGTTACAGAAGACGGGTGGAGCTGGAGGAGTGGACGGTGGTGATTCTGGAGTCAGGAGGAGCTAGAAGGAATTCGAAGGAAGTAGAAGGAATTAGGAGGAGTCGAAGGGAGGGAGAAAGAGGCAGGGGAAAGGGAGGAGGCAGGAGTGGGAGAAGGAGGTAGGAGAAAGGAAGGAGGCAGGAGGACGGGGAAAAGGGGTCAGGAGAAGGAGGGACGCGGAGACAGGAGAAGGCGAGCAGGCAGCAGGAGGCAGGAGGAGGCAGCAGGAGGAGAGGAGAATCATGTCGATGCGCATAAAGGAGGTGGTGGAGAATTTCGTGAAGGAGCTGCGCGTGGCGATGGAGGCGGACATACAGGACCGCATGCTCAAGGAGCGCGAGATGAAGCAGTACCTCGAGGAGCGCGAGCGGGAGGTCGCGGAGCGCGAGGCCGCGTGGAAGGCGGAGCTCACGCGGAGAGAGGTGAGGTGCCGCCGCCGCCACCGCCGCCGCTGCCGCCGCTGCTGCTGCTGCTGCTGCTGCTGCTGCTCTTACCTGCTTTCTCCTCTGCTGCTTCCGCGGCCCGCGGTTACGCTGGGGGGGGTGCTTGAGATTGGAGCCTGCTTTTGATTCGCTGGGAGAGTCTCTTCTGTTGTCCTCCCTCGCACCCGCCCTCCCCGCTTTCTGCCTGCTCGCCCTCCCCGCTTTCTGCCTGCTCGTCCTCCCGCTCTTTCTCCCCGCCTTCTCTTCTCCGTTTTTCCATCCCCGCCTCCCCGACTGCTCCCTCCCACATCCCCCCTCACCTGCCCCCCCGCGCCCGTGTCCGTGCGCGCAACGGCAGGCGGAGATAGTGAAGCAGGAGGCGCGGCTGCGCGCGGAGCGGGAGAACCTGGAGAAGGAGAAGCGCATGCTCATGGGGACGGCGTCCAACCAGGAGAACCAGGTGCGGGGGTAAGGTGGGGGGAGCGAGGGGTGGGGGAAATGACTCTTGAGCCGGCGCAGAAGCGAACCTTGAGAAGGAGAAGCGCATGCTCATGGGGACGGCGTTTAACCAGGAGAACCAGGTGCCGGGGAGGGGAGGGGAAGCGGGGGGAGTAGGGGTGAGCGGGGGGAGTGGGGGTGAGAGGGGGGAGTAGGGGTGAGCGGGGGGAGTAGAATGGGGACGGGGAGGCTTACAGTGGACTCAAAGTGCGGAGCGGGAGAACCTGGAGAAGGAGAAGCGCATGCTCATGGGGACGGCATCTCCAACCAGGAGAACCAGGTGCGGTTCGGGGGAGGTGTGGGAGTGGGGGCGGGGGGAAGGGGGGGGAGAGGAGGGGGAGTGGGGGAGAGGGGTGGGTGGGTTTGAGGCGACTCTAAGCTAGGATTGGGAGAAGCGTGAGATGAGTGGAGGACGGGGGGAGAGAGAGGGGGGGAGTGGGGGAGGGGATTGGGAGGGGGAGTGGGGGAATGAGGGGAAAGGGAGGGGGAAGAGAGGTGGGTGAGTTTTAGGCGACTCAAAACTTGGATTAGGAGAAGCGTGAGATAGAGAAGCTCATGGTCATGCAGACTGCATCCAACCGGGGGAGAGCCAGTTGCGGGGGGGGGGGAGGTGGGAGGAGAGGGGAGTGTGGGAGAGGGGCTGATAGGGGGAGTGGGGGACGGGCAAGAGGAATAGTTGAGGGTTTCCTGGATGGGAGGGGTTGAGGATTGACGAGGGTGGAAAAGGGTGGGGGGAGGGTGAGGGAGAGAGATTGTATGTGCCATGTGGTCGGCACTGTAGGCATGAACTTGCATGCATGCATGCAGGTAATCACATGGGCTCAACTCAACCACCTTCACTGTGCTGCTCCCGTGTCGTGTCGTGCTGTGGCCATGCATTGCAGGATGGGGCGCTGGTGGAGATCACAGGGAGTGGGGAGAAGTAAGCTCTTTCGAGGTGCCTCAAAACTCGCCTTCGTTGTGCTCTCCCCCTGTTTCGGCCATGCATGCATTGCAGGACGGGGCGCTGGAGATCACAGTGAGTGGGGAGAAGTACCGCTGCCTGCGCTTTGCCAAGGCCAAGAAGTGATTAGAGCTGCACAGAGAAGCCGCAGCTGCAGGAGAGCTTGCTTGTTGAACGGGACTGCATGGGCCGGCTGGCTGGACAATGAGGGCTCATAGTTAGCACTGGTGGCAATGAGGGAGTTTCAGCAACTTCTGCAGGGGGTAGAGGTGTGGGGCCCGGTGGAGGGTGGGGCAGGGGGCGGTGGTCATGCCTGCGGCCCTGCGGTACGGTTGAAGGTCCTGCCTGCCCCTCCATTCGGTTGGCGGCTTTGTTTAGTGTGTGGGTAGCTTCTTGTGGAACGGTGTGGGAGTGAGGGAGCTGCGCTGCAGCTGCTGCATGAGATTGCATGGGCACGTACGAGCAGTTGCCGCGGATCAGATGTTCTTGAGGTCAAGATTCTTGACTCATTGTTCCAAGGGCGGCAACTTTTGAGGCGCCTCAAAAGTGCAGTTGTCACGGAGAGCTTATGTTTGGGGATGAAAGCGCTGAGCAGGCAGCATGTACCGTAGCAGTGGCAGTGGCAGCACGTCACAATCCAGCGGCAGCACTAGCAATGGCAGCAGTTCCAAATCAGCAGGGTGGCTGCAATCGGAGGGTTTGTCTTGGTTCGTACCGTACAATAAAGAAGCAAGTCATTTTGCTTATGGGTGAGTGAGCAGCAAGCATGCGGTTGAGGTAGGTGAGCAAGATGAACTGGTACGACGTTAGTGGCGAGCTAGACCCTAGTGCAGGGATCTGCTGTATTGGCTGCCTGCCTGGTTCTTGATCATCATCTAAGGGCGTGTTCCTATGGCCTCCTATCAGAGCTACCTCATATCAGATAATGAAAAAGTTGCAGACAACGTTATACAACACCTCTTGTCAGCCCTGTACCGAAACTGCACACAAATCACAACATTCGCTTGGCCTCGCATGGTCGTGCTGATTCACCTGTGCACGGTTGGAGTAGACCCGCATGCAGATGCCATTGCCTGTCTGCCGACATCCTAACCTGCGCACGAAGGTGACGCGGCCTGGTCTGTGCACGTCTGGACGTGCCATAGTTGCACAATTTGTCAAACATTGGATGATTGGCGCAACGGGAAAGATCTTTGGCGCCTCTTTCACGCCACGTTTAGCCAGCACGTTCAGAGTTTCCCGTCTCACTCACAAACAAACCCGCACAAACGAACTCAAACACCAAGATCGACACATGCGTACATATCCACTCGACCACGCAGGTTGTGTTATGCAGGCACTAAAACTTCCTAGCATGGCTCGCAAACGCAAAAGCAATGTCGGCGCGACAGAGGAATACTTGTGGCGACCGGAAGACCTGGCCTACGTGAAGTGGATGAATGCGGAACTTGCATCAGGGAGACCTACCACGAAGCCCCTTCGTAACGTGCATGCCACCGGCTCAACGCCAGCGCAATCGACCGTCAATCCGCATCGCACTCAAGGTCCACACGTGACCGACTACGACACTGACGAGGATTTTCCGGAGAAGGACTCTGAGGACGAGGATCTTGAGCAAGGGTCGGACGGGGAACATCCCGTTGCTGCATGGCATGGGGACGTTCAGTACAACAGTCCGGCCGAGCAGACCGCGAACGCCACCCACGCTGTTCGGGACGGGGCTGATCCGAGCCCACGCGCCAGGGCGAAGCGTAACGGCAAGGCTAAAGCACAGCCAGAGTCGCCTAACGAGACGTCAGTGAGCGGCATTGCGCAGAAAGGCCAACGGCCGGAGTGGTCACCCAAGGAGTCGACCGTTCTCGTGGCCGCGCGGTGGTTTACGAAGGACGAGCTGCAACAGATGACGGGCAAGCAGGGGTCGCAGTATTGGCTCCGGCTAATCGAGCATATCAAACTGCGACACCCTGATTGGAGTCGGAACGCCTTAGCATGCACTAACCAGTGGAAGCAGTTGAAGGCGTTGTGGAAGCAAATCGACAAGGGCGACTCCGCTTCCGGTGGGGGGACGGTGATTAAGCCACCGTGGTGGGAGTGGATGGTGTTTTTTTATAAGGATACGGCAGCTGCAGAGCCTCACGCCCTTGACGGCGGCGGTGCGGTTGAGGTCAATGTTGACCCGGGTGTGAAAGTCGTCACGCCCTCGAAGACCGATGCTACGGGCACCACGGGTACGTATTGCTATCAATGTATAACTCTGCATGTTCCAACATAGATCGTGGTTGTTTTATTGATATCCAGCTCTTATTAGCATTGACATGCATTACTAACATTCTTTATGACATATAATACCCTATCTATGTCCTTCGTGTCAGAAGTGCGTCGCACCCCACCCAGTGCTCGTCGTAGGGTCCACGAGACGGCAACCATGGCGGCCGCCCAGCTCTTATCCGACACTCTCAAGCAGTGCTCGGCTAATGGCGTGGCGCAGATAACTGGGGTGATTCGGGAGTGGATGGCGACGCAGCAGTCGCAGACCAGTCGCCCCCTCCACTTCTCGGGATCCCGCCACGGCGACGATGACAGCTGGCATTACAACCGTGAGGGCAGCGAGGGCAACACCAATGCCGACCTCAGTGACGGGGTTGAAGAGTGGCGTCGCGGCGACGACGCTTAAGGTAAGCGTCGTGAAGGGTCATGCCAAGCCTCTTACGCCGCTCTTTCAGCTCCGCCTGCGTACCTGTCTCACATGCACTCCAGTTGTACACAGCAAGCTCGCCCCTCGTCCACCATGGGTCGCGGTTGAGTGCAATTGCTTCCCATTTGTGGTTCGGGTTTTTCATCCGTGAACCGGCCATCGAAATCCCCATGTTGTGCAGGATTACGACACAACTGGCCCCGGCGAGTACGCGCCATAGCGCACAGTCGTGTCGGCCGGCGAAAAGGCGGTAGCGGCCTTTAAACTAACCGATGGTGCGCTCGACGGACATTCGGGTGGCGGACTGGCAGTAGTTGTATGTCTGTTCCCACTCGAGCATAAGGCGGCCAGTGGGTGCATGTAAGGGGGTGAGACAATAGTCGCGGAGGGGATAAGCTGCATCTCCAACCAGCTGGTACGGGGAAATGTCGCCTCGTTCTAGTCTTTCGTAGAGGCTAGATTTGATGAACACTCTCTGATCGTGTGCTGTGCCGGGATACCCGATGAGGTAATCCCAAATGATCCCTCTAGCATCGCATGTGATCTGCAATTGAACCGCGTACTGTGATTTGCGGGTGTAATATTCAGTCCGATGCCCTTCCTTCCCTTTGATTTGAATATGTGTGCCATCTATTGCACCCACTACTGCTGGAACACCCTTTATGCTCCTAAACTCTTCTGCCATCGTCCGCATCTCTTCTTGTGATGGAAATCGGACCCAGTCCGATTTAAAGACGCGCGGGAAGTTTGTGAGGAAAATGTCTACGAGTAAGTGGCATATCGTCTTCGGAACCCCAAACCAGAACGCGAGGTCAATGTACGACAGGGCGCTCGCGAAGTATTTGATCGGCACAAGTATGGCGATGCTAATCGGTAAGGAGTGTTTTTGTATGACCGGGTTTAGAACTGAGCGCATTCCTTCACTGATGTAGTCTAGAACGGATCGATTGATTCTGAACAAGTCCATGACAACCTCCTCTGGCATCGCCTCCATTTCATCCACCCATATCCCTAGGCGTCGCCGCCTCAGACCTCGATTCCGTGCCCGGATCGCACTACGAGATTCTCCGCTAGTTTCCTCATTTGCGGCCTGGTCTATCTGCTCGAGCAACTCAGTACAAGCTTTCGTAGGAAGCGCGAGGAAGGTGTTGTAATAAAAAGCATGCCACACAATTAAGAGTCTAGGGAGAAAAGGCACATCATTCATGGTGGCTGGAGGTAATTAATAACCCATTTAGCTGGTTCTCGACAGTTTATCGTAAATTGATTAAATTGTGAGGCATTAACCCGAACTACCAAATAGTAAACTCGCCCCTTCGACTCAGGGTACATTCCTGCGGGGACATTTGTGTCTCAATCCCCGGTTTCCCGAGTCGCCCTTGTAAATTTGCCAAATGTTGTGTCACAAACAACCTATGTATCGCGACCCTGCGCGACAGATGGGCACGGCCAGGTGGGTGCGTACGATTGGTTGCGACCAATCGGATTGACCCCACCCAGTTTTCCCGCCGGGCAGGGTGCCAGAACAGGGCCCTCGCTAGGTTTTGGGCCTGTCTGAGAGTACAACTGGATTTTTTTTTTTTTTTTTTTCTGACGCCAAGATGACCAAGTTTCTGTTGTCTTACGCTAAAGACAAAAAAGTCTACAACAGTCTGATCCATCAGACGAAAAAAAAGCCCCGTCTGAACCTATTACAAAGTAATGATTTAGGGTTTAGCTCTAACTATTTATCAATATGTTAAGCAGTTAACATCCTAAACAACTACCAACCTAGTCAGAGTCACTACCAGCGCTGTCGTAGTCATCATCAGTCTCAGCCTCACTTTCCGCAAAAGGGTCAGGAGCTTTTCCCCTATCCTTCCGACTGAGCCAGGGGTATTCTGCATCAAGCCTTGCGGCTTCAGCTGCTAGGGCTGCTTCTCGGGCTGCAGCTTCTGCTGCTGCCAATGCTGCGGCTGCTGCTGCTGCTGAGGCAGATCTCTACTTCGCGCGCTTGCTTACTCTCTCCCCGGAAGCCATCAACACATCCTTGGCAGGCCTGCGTTTCTTCGAACCGTTAAACCGCCTCAGTAACTCGGGCCACTCCATGTCATAGCTGAGAAGCGAGACGGTCATCAGCTCCCCTAGCTTCGCGTCACACAGGTTCCCGCGGAGCCAGCTCTTAATCACATTCTGCCGTGAAAAGCCACGCTCGTTCTCAACCGTGCTGAGCGGAAGAACAGCGACAGCGATCCACAAGTGTACGAGATTTGGGTAGCAGGTGGTCCAGTCGGGAGAGGACAGCATGAGCTTCAGGCTGTCCGCAAAGCCCACATCCTCCTGGTGTGTGGACATGATCATCGAGAACGTGACGATCTCTCGCTGTGCTCGTGCCCAGTTGATGCCTGTGGGGTGTGGTTCGCAATGGGAAGTGCAACAGAAATATGTCAAT